TTAATGGGATACATAAAACCTCCCTTGCTAAATTCTCTGAGGAGCGTATCCCCTAGCCCAATGCCCTTCCTTTAGCTCTGCTAAGCCTTAGTTCTAGACCATCTGATTCCCAATAAGCTCAGTCCCTATGAGATAGTAACAGGACACCCAATGCCACCGTGTCATCAGTAGGAAGCACAGCAGCCAGAGGCTCCCTCCTACAATACTGCAATGGGTTGACTCAGGAAATAACAGATAACTTACCAGCTCATCTCACAGTCCCGTTCTTTAGAAATTCCAACCTAGACTCAGCTCCTGATTCAATCTGCTGACTGGGTCCACTGGAAATGTCATCTCTGAAAATACTCCTTGGAGCCAAGGTGGAAAGGCCCCTTTGAAGTCCTGACCACCCCCACTGCAGCCAAACTCCAGGGAGTAGAGTCCTGGATCCACCTGTCACATCTCAAAAGGGCAGTACTGCCCACCTGATTGTGGAACCCACAAGTGGCCTGACTCTAAAAGTTAAACAGGGTCCAAAGCAGCCAACACCTGAGATGGACAGCTGTTCCCAAGACCCCAGGATGAGAAGATGATATCTGATGCAGACTACTGACCCAAGAAACTGGACATGGGCTGAGGTTTGCAGTTACCCTCTCTATAAACCAAGCCTTTTCTTTTTTGCTACTATAGCCACAGTATATCACAGCCTCCCTCCCTTCAGGGAAGGCCTCTGTGCTTTTGTCTACACTTTGTCCAGTTTGTCCCTTTTCCCAGGGAACCACTCTGCTGAAGTTCCTCTTAGGTTAAAGTTATCCTTCCGTTGGCAGCAAAGGCTTGCTCTACTGCCCATTGTGGCCCTGTTGGTTTCAGAAAATATCCATAGACCTGGAGCCCACAAGGAAGCTTGTCAGCAGCCTGCAAATGCAGGTTGATTCACTTGCCATCGTGGTATTATAAAACCGTCAGGCGCTGGACATCCTAACAACTGAGGGGGGCTGTGCCATCACTGGGGAGGAAGATTGTTTCTATGTCAACCAGTTCTCTCAAAGAGAGGAAGATCTTAGTGCTCTAAACAAGCAAGCAGAAGATTTGTGGAATAGGGGTCAAAACCTTCTAAAGTATGTTGCGCTCTCTCCTTCCTTTGGTCTACAACTTGTAACTTATTAATTCTTACATACAATTAAAATCATGTTTCAAATGAATGCTCCTCATCAGACTGCAAGGGTTGTTTTGACTTTAGAATTGCTACTCTAAGTCTAATCAATCATTTCTGTTTGATTTGATTTCATTTCTGTCAAGCAATTCTGAGAATCAAATCTGTTAGTATATTCATTACACATATTGTATCGATTACTATAAAAATCATAATTCCCTTCATATCACTGTTAACAACAGTTTCTTGAAATATGATATCTAGGCTCCTTCTTTGTTCTTGTCTTTCAAGCAGTCCAGTGATTCTTAAATTATCTATCCCTGATCTGTTTTCCAGGTAAGTTGTTTTTCTTATACATTTTCTTCTATTTTTTCAGTCTTCAGACTTTGTTTTATTGTTTCTTGATGTCCAAAGTAGCCATTAGCTTCCCCTTAGCCAATTCTTATTTTTAAGGAGTTAATTTCTTTAGTACTTTTTAGTACCACTTTTACCAAGCTGATAATTCTCTTTTTATATTTTTCTTACTTGGCTCTCATTTCTTCCCCACTTATCCTCTACCCCTCTTATTTGATTTTTTTTTGTTTTGGTGAGGCAATTGGGGTTAAGTGACTTGCCCAGGATCATACACCTAGTAAGTGTCTGGGCTGAGATCAGATTTGAACTCAGGTCCTCCTGACTCCAGGGCCAGTGCTGTCTCTACTGCACCACCTAGCTGCCCCCCTTATTTGATTTTTAATTTTTTTTGCATCAAAGGGCAAATCTCTTTTTGCAATAAAGTGTGAAAAATCTCTTTCTTTAACTTATCTAGGAATTCTTGTTGGTCTTCAAATCTGCATTTTTCTTTGCAGCTTTGCTTATTGATGTTTTCATGTCATTATCTTCATTTGTGTTTGTGTCTTGAGTTTCCCTGACCTCATAGTAGCCTTTTATGGTCAGGTTCTTTTTTTGTTTGCTAACATTTCCAGTCTACTTCTTGGCTTTGGACTCTATATCAGTATTGGGCTCCACTCATCTCTGGGAGCACAGGGTGGGGGAAATGTCTGGTCTGAGCTTCTGTCCTTTATGTTCTTTTGCTGCTTTCACAGTTCAATTTGGAAGCCCGTAAGTTTTTGGTGCTTCCAAAGTAATGTGATCTGGGGAGAGATCTGTTCACTTTCCTTGTTGTCTGCAAATTGCTGCCCCAGCTTGGGCCCATTGCCTCATGTATGTTTGAATTTCTATATACTTCCACTGTACTCAGTTACAGATAGCCCACTGGGAGGTTCTATGTGTTCAAAGTGATTCAACTGTTGGCTCCCCCCTCGATTTTGGGCTTCCATCCTGGTTTTTTCCCCACTGCGGACTAGAAGGCCTGCTGTCCTAGAGCTTTCCCTTGTCCATAAATGTCCACAGATATCTATAGGCACGCTGGATTGTTATCAAGTGGGAAGAGGACAGAGAACATCCCTGGAACCAGCCAACCCGTTAGACTGACATCTCCCAGCAGAACTTTCACTACTCTGCATCATTGCCAAATTGGGTGAGAGGCAGGAACATTCACCTCTGGCAGCTGCCTCTCCTAACTGCAGCTCCTTTCTCTCTCATTGTGTGGCTACAGCCACAGCAAGATGGTACAATGGACGGTACACCAGACCTGGAGTCATGATGATCTGAGTTCAAATCCAGCTTCGGTCCACATGTCCAGTTATCTATGGAACATTTCAAACTGGTGTCCCAGAGATATCTTAAATTCAACATGTCTAAAACTAAAGTAATTATTTTTCCCCTAATCCTTCCCTTCTTCCAAACATCCCTATTGCTGTTGAAGGCACTACTCTTCTTCCAGTATTCCAATGTTCATAACATCTGCACATATCTCTTCATTCACCCTCAGCCAACATATCCAATCAGTTTGCCATTTTCCTGTTTCTACTTTCACATATTTCATACCTGACCCCCTCTCTCCAATCATACAGCCACACCCTAGTTTAGGTCCTTATCACTTCTCACCTAGATTATTGCAACAGCCTCCTAATTGGTCTCCTCTGCTTCAGGTCTTCCCAATTCAGTCCATCCTACACATATGTGTGTAATTCTCTTTAATCAAAATCTGATCCTGCAACTCTTCTCCTCAATCAACTCTCTATTGCCTCCAAATAGACTGTTTAACTTTGAAAGCTCTACACAGCCTGGCTCCAAAGTATTCTTCTAATCTCATTGGACATTTTCTCCTTCTAGACTCTTACCCAGCCACATTGGCCTTCTCTCTGTCCATCACACAACGTACTCCATCTCCCAACTCCTTTAGCCATCCCACCTGCCTAGAATGCACTCCTTTCTTACCTCTGACTCATAGAATCCTTCTCTTTCTCTATAAGCAGCTCAAGTTCTGTCTTCTACACGAAGTCTCTCTGAATCCCCTCAACCATTAGTGTTTTCCCTCTCAAGCTACCTTCTATTCAACTCCTTGTTATATATATTGGGATTTATGCAGTATATAGTTTAACGTGTACTTCTTCCCCCTCTCTATAAGTAGGTTTTATTTAATTCTTTGTACTTTTGTCCCCAGTATCTGGCACAGAGCAAGTGTTGTACATTGCACATATTTTCAGACTTTTTGGATGTACTAATCTGTTAGGCTGATTTTTTTTCCTCTTTGTTTTTAAAACTACTATTTGGTTCTGTGGGAGAGTAAAAAACACATTAAAAAAACTTATTCTTAAAAATATTTGTTAACTGATTGATTGACACTAAAATACGGTCCTCTTCAAAGGAATGTGCATTCATCCCCACTTAACTGAGGGTGAGGAATACATGGGGAGGGGGAGTGAAAGAGTGCTGCTTATCGGATAACCTCACTCTGTCCCAGTCCTAGAATCATAAAATCATAGAATTAGAGTTTGAAAGACCTTAGACAGAATCTAAAAGAGCCATCAGGGCAGCTAGGTGGTGCCATAGGGCACAGGAAGACTCATCTTTGTGAATTCAAATATGGCCTCAGACACTTACTAGCTGTGTGACCCTGGGCAAGTCACTTAACCCTGTTTGCCTCAGTTTCCTCATGTGTAAAAAGAACTAGAGAAAGACATGGCAAACCACTCCAGTATCTTTGCCAAGAAAACCCTACACGAGGTCACAAAGAGTCAGACCCAACAGAACAACAAGAGAGACATCATGGCACAGTAGAGGGAGACCTGGAGTCAGAAAGACTCAGGGTGAAATCCTGTCTTTCACACTGTATCTTTTGATGCAGAGCCACTGAGAGGAGGACACCCATTTTACACTGTTGATGTGAAGATCAAATAAAATCCTATATGTAAAGTGCTTTGCAAATCTTAAAGTGCTGTATAAATATTATTATCTAATCCTGAAGTTCTTTCAACCCACTTTAGAAGAGGGAGGAATTTCCTTCCCCAAAACTCACCCACTCATTATAGGACCTTGCTTCCAATTTTACTGAGAAAATATTATGATTTCCTTCCTTTCCCCCGACTCTACACCTTACAATCTATCTACATCATTCACCATTCTTTCCTTCTTTGCTTGAATCTCTGATGCAGAGGTACATTTCTGGCCAGTCAGCCTTTCTGCCTATTCTGGGAGCCTGCCCCTTTGATCATTCCCTCTCTATCTTTCATCTTTAATCTCTATTTATCTACATGCTCCTTCCCTGCTGCTCCCAGACATCCAGATCTCTCACGTCCTTTCAAAAAATCCATGTTTCTCTGCCATCCCCTCAACATGAATTTCAGATACTTAATGGCATACTACAAAGAAGCGCCAGGTGTCTGTGGGTTTCTGTTTGAAACTTGATTTGGTAAAAATTCATTTTGAACAAAACAAAATTTAAAAACATTTTTATTACTTCATATTTTCAAAAGTTGTGCCATTTTGATGTGAATACATCTCACAGTCAAACACGAAGGATCTGACTGTCATACTGTGTGGCAGAGCTGGTTAAGCTAAACTTCAAATAAATTATTCCAAAAGACTCCGTGGCAGATGCTCCATAATGACTACCGTTCATCCTTCATTGACTGGGAAGAGAACAGAAATTCACAGAGAAAATATCCCTGAATCCTTAACCACGCTGTGGGTATGAAAATTAGGCTTTAAATCATCATTATGAACAACATGAGGAATAGCTACATTGGATAAATAGAGACTCGGGGAGCAATTACTGAATCTTGAATATTACTACACATTTTCACAATAAAAAAATTGCTATCATGCAGAGGTCTAATGTTGTAGGCATGAAAAGACATCTTATTTCAAGAGGAGATCAATGTAGAGGGGAAAGTTCCCCAAAGACTAAAAGAAAAACCTGTCTTTTAACCCACACCAAGTGCCCAGAGCATATAAGACAAAGCCACAGCCTGGAAGACTTGCTACATAAAACCTAGAGAAGGGCCAAGTCTTATCCATAAGGGCATCTCATCTCAAGGAGCAACAAGAATGGGTCTGTTCTTTTCTGGGCAGATACGTCCTGTTTTCCTCCCATCTTTTTCTTCAATAAAAAATGCAGAGTGCTTATGGCCCATTTCAATCTAATTGGGAAGGGGATAATATTGCAAAACAATGAGAGGCATGATGGTAGAGCTGAAGGCTGCTGGACCAGGAATGAGGAAACCTAGGTTCAAAGCCTGGCTTTACCATCAATTATCAAGTCACTTCACAACTGTGAGCCTCACTTTTCTTCTCTGTACAATAGGGTTGAGGGGGATGAACTAAACAATTTCTAAGGCCTATATAGGCATATTCATTATACTTCTGTAACTTTGAAAGAATGGGTTACATTTGTATAGTTTTTATAACATGGCACAGTGTCAGCTAGGTGGCACAGTGAGGAGAGGGCTGGACTTGGGATCCCAAAGACCTAAGTTCAAATTCTCCCTCTGATAATAACTAGCAGTAGACTTTGGTCACTTAACCTCTTTTGGCCTCAGTTTGCTCATCTGTAAAATGGGGATGATAGTGGAATAGACTTCACAGGGTTATTATGATTGTCAAAGGAGAGTACTTCCCAAACTCAACATATTATATAAATGCTAGCTTTTATTATTACTAGACTACTGAATCTTGAATATTACTACACATTACTACAACAACTCCTTCAGGTAAGTAGAACAGCAATTTATGATCCACATTGTGTAGCATGGATCCCACATGACTATAACCTCTGCTATTCCAGCTTTAGTGTGAAGTATTTGGAGGAATCTTAATGATATAAATATGTCTAGAGCCCAAGTCCAGTGCTTTCTCTACCAAGAGACCAGGCAAAAACCATAAATTAAACAGCAAAATATTAAACCAAGACAGAATAGCAAATTAAATAACAGGGAAAATCAAGTGATGAAAAGCATTCTCAGCCTTCTCCAGTCCTGAAAGTAAATAGATCCAATCTCCCAGGTTCCCAGGATTGTGGAGAAGGGAACAGTGCCCAGAAGACTTATACTCTGAGGTGAGGAAGGGCTATATTGTGCTTACATCTTTCATGGTTATGTCTCCAAGCCACTTGGGCCTTCCTTTTGTTCAGGGTCACCTCTTCAGCCTCTGCACTCTTCTCCTAATGCCACCCTTCACCGTTTCTGTGGTTGGAATTGTCGTCTGCTGCTGTGGCTTCTCCTTCCCTGCAGTGAGGGAGAGTGTCATCTCTCTTTCATGACACTGCCCAGTTTGACATGCCTACAGAACTAATCAACATTTTCCCCAGCTCTTTCAGCTGCTGGTGGCATGGTGGATAGAGCTCTGGATCTGCAGTCAGGGATACCTAAGGTCAAATCTGAGCTCAGACACTTACTAGCTGTGTGACCCTGGGCAAGTCACTTAACCTTGTTTCCCTTAGTTTCCTTATCTGTAAAATGAACTGGAGAAGGAAATGGCAAACTTTCTTTGCCAAGAAAACCCCAAATCAACTCATAAAGAGTGAGGAATGCCTGAAAATGTCTGAACGAATTAGGGGAAAAGAAAAGTTATTATAAGAAGAATGTTTTATTATATATTAGGAGAATGTTTTATTTATACAGGCAAAAGTGCTGTATAAATTTGAGACAGTATAAAGGAGAGGACAGGGCTGCCACCTAAGTCCCTGAGGTCCCCAGGATGGATTGACCTGAGCCCCTCAGCCCATGTTTCCCACTGGGACCTACTTCCTGAGCCTGGAGCCACCAGGTGATGGTGGAGAGAAGGTCTACCAGGCTCTCGATCCCGCTGCTGGGGGGAGGGTAAGACCTTCTGCTGTGGCATGTGTGAGCACAGCTTCCTGCGCTCCCTGTACCTCTGGCAGCACCATGTGGTGCACACAGCTGAGTGGTGCACACAGCTGAGTGCACCTTTAAGTGTGCCTCGCGGGCCAAGCACTTTGCGCAGTCCTCTAGACTGGCCGGGCGCTGCCACCTGCATGCCATGGTCCAGCCCCAGCGCATGTGGCAAGACCTCCTGGAGCACCAGAAGCTGCACCTGGGACAGCATGTCTATCACTGTGAGTACTACAGTGAGGCCTACTACCTGAGCTCTGTGCTGCGGCACCAGCGGGCCCAGGAGCCCACACCGCAGGAGCTGGGCTGCCTGGCCTGCCTCAAGGTCTTCAAGGACCCTGGCTACTTCCGCAAGCACCTGGCCGCCCACTGAGGCAGCCAGCCCTTCAGCAGCTCGGCCTGAGTGGAGGGCTTCTCCAACACTGGCCTTAAAGAGCACCGTTTGGTCCGCAAGGCCCAGAGGGGGACATGCTGGAGGTGGTCGGCACCCTGCCTCCTCCTGCTCCTGGACATCACCAATGAGATCAGAGGGAGGAGGCTTTCCACCTGCCAACCCCACCCCCCTTCTGCCAAAGTCTGGTAGGGGGGCTTCACTTCATAGGGATCTGGCCATTCCCTTCATGAGCGATGGCCTTAATCCTTCACCTCTCTCTCCCCTACCTCCCCCACATTCTGGGAACTCTAGGACATCCCCTCACACATACACCAATCCCTCTCCATCTGCCCCTTTGTAATTCCCCCACCCCTACCTCCCTGCCCATGCCCGAACCTATAGGAAATGAAGCTAATTCCCAGCTACCTTGATCACCACCACCATCTTGGAATGGAACAGAGCAGGGAGAGGTGGGTTGGGAGAGACATGGGGTAGGGGGCTGATTGCCATTTAGATGTGTGTAGTGGGGGTGGAGGTGGGAAGACAAAGTCTGTACAAAGTCGGGAATAAATATCTTTGTGGCATGAAAAAAAAAAGTTAAATCTTTTCCTCAAAACGTTTCCTGGTGCCCAGTTTGCCTGTAACTGTGGGAGGTACCACGACTAAGTGCAAAATCCAGAAGTTCTGCTCATCTCTTCACTCCTTTTCACTTCCCACATTCAATCTGTCACCAAATTAAGCTACTTCTTTCCAACAACATCCTTCAATTCCATTCTTTTGGCCTTTTCTTTCTATATAATGAGACTACTAATAATTCTGGCACCAGCCACCTCCCAGGGCTTTTGTGGAAAATGTCCTTTGTAGGTTTTAAAGCCTTCTAGAAGCATCAGCTATTATTAATCTAGCTAAACCATTCTCCTTTGTCAAAGGGAAGAACAGAAGCAGAACCTTTTGCCTGGGGTGGGGAGAGGGAGGAAGAGTGATGGTAGAAATAATTTGGTAGTTCAATTCAACTTCACAAACATGTATTAAACATTTAGTATGTGCCAAGTACTCTTTGAGTCTCCAGGGAGACAAAGACAAAAAGAAGCTTAAAGTTTACTCTCAACATGAACTCTTTGGCTTGGATTACATGGATAACTGCATCTTTTTTTTTAATAGATCATTTAAGTCTCATTTCTATTTTACCTTAAGTTTTTCAGAATATTTTCCCCCCAATAGCCTTGTGAGTGCAAATATTATTATTGTCATTTTATCAATGAGGAAACTGAGTAAGGGGATGCAATTATATTGAGGTCACACAGCTAGTAAGTGTCAGGGATGTGACTTGAACCCACATTCCCTGACTCTAGGACTAGCATTCTTTCCATACACCAGACACTCTTTTCTAGAAATCATCTAAACAGGGGTAGTTTGTCCCAAGAGGGAAAGGTAAGTTCTTTCAAGCTACTTACCGTCTTGGTCCCCAAAGATGTTAACGTGATAGCCCCTCAACAAGTCACCTGCCAGCAGTTTCCCAAAGACAAATGGTGATCTGATCTCTGCCTCTCACTGTTTTCAGTCCTGAAACGGAACTGCTTTCTCGAGCTCCAGGAGGAGGAAAGGGAGCTAACGGTATAAAGTCAGATCAGATAGTGGCCAGGCAGAGACTGAATACAGCTGACCCTCAGAGCTCCAGCTGTAAGCCCCTGCTGTCAATTTGTGGCTTCAGTTTCGTTTTGCTGATGCTGCACAGATAAAGGATTCTGAAAACTAAAGATCCTATTTCTATAACCAACAAAGCTTAGCAAGCAGAGTGCTGAGCTCTTGTCCTTTTCATGAACACATTCCTGTTTACACAGAATAAGCTTTTCATACAGGACTGGGCAGCAGACTCAGTTCTTTCCTGATCTAAAAAGATTATTGGGGTGGGGGGTGTGCAGTTGGCAAGGGACCATTTAAACCCCAATCATACTGTCTCTATCTGCTGACTTCTCTCTCAGAGGACTATAAACTATATTCCTATTCTCTCTGAGTCTCAAATTATGTATATTTTAGGCCAATAACTTCTTGGAACTCTGAAGACATTTCTTTACCCCATTTTCTATGTACTCAAAATGAAAAGAGTTGGATTTGAAGTCAAAAGACCTGGGTTCAAATGCCAGGACTGCTCCTTACAAGTTGTCTGTTCTTGGGAGCAGTCCCTTAAACTCTCTGGTCTCAGTGTCCTTGTTTGTAAAATGAGAGGTTTGGACGATATCTTTGAGGTCTTTTCCAGTTCTAAATCCTGACTTATGAATTAACTTATGGATGTTTTTGTATAGGAAGAACAAAAGAACAACAGCTCACATTCCTCACTCCAGCCACCATCTCCCCTTGTTCTCCAAGGTAAGACTCCATCCTCGGAACCACCTATGGCATGATAGGTTAGTTTTGGCTTTAGCTTGCCTAGCTCCAAGCCTGCTAAAGTTTAGGAGTTTAGGTTTAAAAGCCACACTTCCTCCAGATTTCTCTATTTCTATCAAGGGCAACACTATCCTTCCAGTCCCTCTGATCTATGACCCTGGAGTTATCCTTAACTGTCCCTCCTCCTTTCCCTATAATATCCAATCAAATGTCCCATGTTGTCATCTCTGTCATCCACGGCAGAGTCTCTCAACTCCATCCCCTTCTTTCTATTCACCTGGCCATCACCCTAGACTTATCCCTGCACATTTCTATCACTTCTCCTCTGGACCATGGTAATACCTTTCTAATGCATCTCCTTATTGCCAGGTACCATGGTGTAGGAATAAAGACTATTGGCTCTGGAGGCAGAAGAACTGAGTTCAAATCCCAAGTTCTGCCACTTAATACTTCTGTGACCCAGACGAGTCTCTATTAGCTTGTCTGCCTCAATTTTCTCTTGTATAGAGGTAGTACAACCTCTAAACTGCCTTCTAGCTCTAAATCTGTGATCCTAAAGAGAGAAGGAAAATGGGTGCAGAGCCAGAAAATTCCCTCTCAATGGTGCCTAAGTCCCAAAAGTTATTCTTAGGGAAAACAGGTGGCCAGAGCATTTACTGCTTGATTTTCTTACTATGTACATTTAAGTTTATTTTAAGTTATTATTTTTTTTGCATTACATTGATGTCACATGATTCATTCTGAGTGGTTAGAGAGAGGACAGCCAGAGGAAAAATTGGGGACAAATTAATGGTGGAACAGATGGTGAACTCATAGGGCTCTAGGAACATATAGGTAGCAATGGATCATAATGATAATAACAGTAATAGGCAGCATTTGTATGCTGATTTAAGATTTGCAAGATGTTTTACAAATATTTATCCATACGGCAACACTAGGATATAAATGCTATTATTGCCACCATTACATAGTAAAGGCTTGCCCAATTTAAAATTTTTGACATTATATTAAATTTTTATTTAATTAATTTAAAATAATTAAATCTTGGGAGGCAGAGCCAAGACGGCAGAGTGAAAGTTGTGACTTGCTTGAGCTCTCCCCCAAACCCCTCCAAATACCTATACAAAATGGCTCTAAACAAATTCTAAAGCAACAGAATCCACAAAAAGACAGAGTGAAACAAATTTCCAGCCCAAGACAACCTGGATGGTTGATCAGAAAGGTATATCGCACCAGAGGAGTGCAGTTTGGCATGGGTATGCAGGCCACAGCTAACCTGGAGCAGGCCTCAGTGGACTGAATCACAGGCAGCTGTGGCACTTTCCAGACCTCTCAACCCATGAACGCCAAAGACAACTCAGAAGGTCAGTGGGAAAAGTCTGTTTCTGTGGTGAGAGCTAAGCTAGGTCTCAGCCTCAATTCCCAAGCAAGCGTGGCCCCACGGTGGTGGCTGCCTCCTGAGCTTCTGGCCCACAGACTGAGGGGGAATCAAGTGGCTGATCAGAGAGGGATTGCAGGGATCTCTTTGCCAGTGCTGAGGCAGGAATCTCTTGCTTTGCCTGTTTTTGGATCTGGGTCACAGTTCTAGGTAGCAGTCCTGGGACAAAGAGGAACACTGGTGTAGTGGAGCTTGTACTGTCTGGGAAGAGAAAATTCTCACAGTTCCAAGACAGAAAAGAGTGCTTGTGGTCACTCATAGACCAGAGAACAGGCCAGTAAAGGAGTAAACACCTCTCCCTTTATCATACCACCTTGTAAGAACTGAAAATTTACAGGTCCCTAGAAGTATCTCTGAAAACAGCTGTACAAACCCCCAAGCTTGGGACAGTACATTCTCCACATTGGAAGCAGACTCTTACCTTAACAAAGAGTTTAAACTCAAGTAATTGGCTGGGATCATGAGCAAACATCACAAAAGAGTCAGACTATAATTTTTTTGGTAACAAGAAGATCAAAATACAACCAGAAGAAGACAACAAAGTCAAAGCTCCTACATGCAAAGCCTCCAAGAAAAATATGAATCAGTCCCAGGCCTTAGAAGAGCTCAAAAAGGATTTTGAGAAGCAAGTAAGAGAAGTAGAGGAAAAACTGGGAAGAGAAATGAGAGTGATGCAAGAAAATCATGAAAAACAAGTCAACAGCTTGCTAAAGGAGACACCCAAAAATACTGAAGAAAATAACACCTTAAAAATAGCCTAACCCAAATGGCAAAAGAGGTCCAAAAAGCCAATGAGGAGAAGAATGCCCTAAAAAGAAAATTGGCCAAATGGAAAAGGAAGTCCAAAAGCTTACTGAAGAAAATACTTCCTTAAAAATTAGAATAGAGCAATTGGAAGCTAGTGACTTTATGAGAAATCAAGACACTGTAAAACAAATCCAAAAGAATGAAAAATTAGAAAACAATGTGAAATATCTCATTGGAAAAACAACTGACCTGGAAAATAGATCCAGGAGAGAGAATTTAAAAATTATTGGACTATCTGAAAGCCATGATCAAAAAAAGAGCCTAGACATCATCTTTCAAGAAATTATCAAGGAAAACTGCCCTGATATTTTAGAACCAGAGGGCAAAATAGAAATTGAAAGAATCCACTGATCTCCTCCTGAAAGAGATCCCCAAAGGAAAACTCCTAGGAATATTGTAGCCAAATTCCAGAGTTCCCAGGTCAAGGAGAAAATATTACAAGCTGCCAGAAAGAAACAATTCAAGTACTGTGGAAACACAATCAGGATAACACAAGATTTAGCAGCTTCTACATTAAGGGACTGAGGGCATGGAATATAATATTCTGGAGGGCAAAGGAGATAGGATTACAACCAAGAATCACCTACCCAGCAAAACTGAGTATAATCCTTCAGGGGAAAAAATGGTCATTCAGTGAAATAGAGGACTTTCAAGCATTCTTGATGAAAAGACCAGAGCTGAATAGAAAATTTGACTTTCAAATACAAGACTCAAGTGGAACATGAAGAGGTAAACAGGAAAGAGAAATCATAAGAGACTTATTAAGGTTGAACTGTTTACATTGCATGGATTTATAACTCATGAGACCTTTGTCAGTATTAGGGTAGTTGGAGGAAAATTAATATGTATATAGATAGTAGTAGTAGATAGAAGATAGATAGAGGCACAGGGTGAGTTGAAGATTAAGGGGTCATATCTGGAGAATAAAATTAAGGGGTGAGAGAGGATTATACTAGGAGAAGGAGAAAGGGAGAGGTAGAATGGGGTAAATTATCTCACAAAAAACAGAAAAGGCTTTTACAGTGGAGGGGAAACAGGGGAAGGTGAGAGGGAATGAGTGAATCTTATTCTCATAGGATTTGGCTTAAGGAGGGAATAACATACACACTCAATTGGGTATGGAAATCTGTCTTACCCTACAGGAAAATAGGGGAGAAGGGGACAAGAGAGCAGGGATGATAGAGAGGAGGGCAGATTGGGAAAGGGGTAATCAGAAGCAAATACTTCTGAGGAGGGACAGGGTCAAAAGAAAGAATAGAATAAATGGGGGGGGCGGGATAGGATTAAGGGAAATAGAGTTAGTTTTTCACAACACGACTACTATGGAAGTGTTTTGCATAACTGCACATGTATAACCTATATTGAGTTGCTTGCCTTTTCAGTGAGGGTGGGTGGGGAGGGAGGAAGGGAGAAAATTTGGAACCAAAGTTTCAAAAACACATGTTTAAAAAAGTGTTTTCACATGCAACTGGGAAATAAGAAATACAGGAAATGGGGTACAGAAATTTATCCTACCCTACAGGAAATTAGAAGGAGAAGGGGATAAGAGAAGGGGGGGAAGATAGAAGGAAGGGCAGACTAGGGGAAGGGATATTCAGGTTGCATGCCATCTTGAGGGGGGGAGGGGTGAGATGAAAATTTGAAACTCAAAATCTTGTGGAAGTAAATGTTGAAAACTAAAAATAAATATACTTAATTAAAAATTGAAGGACTTAAATTTGTAGCCAAGGCAGTAGCGGTTTAAAAGTAACATTTAAGCTTCTCTGTAAATCTGGGCATTCTGAATACTTGAATGTGTGCAGAAGGAGAGAAATGAACAACATTGCACTTTATCAGTACTCTAAACAAGTGGAAATGTAATTCTTGTCCTGTAGAATAAAATCTATTTAAAATTGGCACCATATAAAAAATATAATAAAATAATTAAATTTTAAAAAGAAATTTATAACTTTTTTCTTCAGTGAGGTTTCGAATATTAGTTTAAGCTTAGGCTAGCAACATTGGGATTTGTTGAAGACATTCTTCTTT